ATTATGAAAGGCTATAGTTTAAGTTTCCTTGACAATGAAAAACAAAACAGGGATCAGAAACATTTTGAGCAAAAACATTAAAAAGTCCATTTTGTTAACTTGTTTTGCTTGATATTCATGAACATTTCAGCTCCTCGTGGGTCTTGAACATTTTTCCTTTATTCCAATGTCATAATCTACAAAGTTATTAGAAACTTGCATTTGAGAGCACCTGCCAAAGTCCTATAGCTGATTATAAACCATTCTTTGAAGAGGATTAAAACAAGATAATAATTATCTGTGAGTGATGAAATGTACAGGATAGTTACAGTCAAGAACACAGTTGACAAAAAAATTTGTTTTTTTCTGTGGTATACAATAACTTAACATAAAAAATTACGTTTAATTATGATTAATGGCATATACTCAGACATTAGAATTTTTAAAATCCTGTACAATTTTCAAATGTATTTTAATATTATTCCCTAAAATATAACCTGAAGATTAAACATCCTTTTGGCAATCCCATGTACCTAAACATGTTAAATAATCCTGTTTACCTCTCTTCTGGTTGCTTCAAGGGCCCTATGTAGCATCCAAAAGCTAGGGGTCAAGAAAGACAAATTTGAAACTGAAATTCAAAATTGTCAAAATTCCCAAAACTGATTTTAGGAAGCCTCTTAAATACGTTAGAGGTTTAAAATATTTGATGTTATGAAATAGAATTCCTGATTACCCTAAGTTATTTATTTTGCCAAAATAATGACTCAAAAATTTTAAAAGGCAAAAATATTTCATTAGTTTTTACTATTACATGAAAATCCTGTTCAAAGCCAAATTTCACCTTTGCATTAGTTTATTAATGTTAAACCCTGGCCAGGCACAGTGGCTCATGCCTGTAATCCTAGCACTTCGGAAGGCCAAAGCAGGTGGATCATGAGGTCAGGGGATCGATGCCATCCTGGCCAACATGGTAAAACCCTCATCTCTACTAAAAATACAAAAATTAGCTAGGTGCAGTGGTGCGCACATGTAGTCCCAGCTACTCAGGATACTGAGGCAGAAGAATCGCTTAAACCCAGGAGGCAGAGGTTCCAGTGAGCCGAGATTGTACCATTGTACTCCAGCCTGAGTGAGAAAGCAAGACTCTGTCTCAAAAAAAAAAACAAAAAATTAATGTTAACTCCATTTTTTAGATGAAAACTTACAATTTCATCTAATCTTAACCAACTTGACCATGATGTAAGACTCTTATAAACCTTTTATAACTCTTTACAAATTTTGCTAAAGTGCAGATTAACTTCTTTTTTTTTTTTTTTTTTTTGAGACGGAGTTTCGCTCTTGTTACCCAGGCTGGAGTGCAATGGCGCGATCTCGGCTCACAGCAACCTCCGCCTCCTGGGTTCAGGCAATTCTCCTGCCTCAGCCTCCTGAGTAGCTGGGATTACAGGCACGCGCCACCATGCCCAGCTAATTTTTTGTATTTTTAGTAGAGACGGGGTTTCACCATGTTGACCAGGATGGTCTCGATCTCTTGACCTTGTGATCCACCCGCCTCAGCCTCCCAAAGTGCTGGGATTACAGGCGTGAGCCACCGCGCCCAGCCAGATCAGCTTCTTAAGAAAACCTTGTATGTGCCAGGCACAGCGGCTCATGCCTATAATCCCAGCACTTTGGTAGGCTGAGGTGGGAGGATCACCTGAGGTCGGGAGTTAAGGCCAGCCTGACCAATATGGAGAAACCCTGTCTCTATGCCAAAAATACAAAATTAGCAGGGCATGGTGGCCCATACCTGTAATCCCAGCTACTTGGGAGTCTGAGGCAGAAGAATTGCTTCAACCCAGGAGGCAGAGGTTGTAGTGAGCCAGGATGGTGCCATTGCCCTCCAGCCTGGGCAACAAGAGCAAAACTTTGTGCCAAAAAAAAAAAAAAAGGAAAGAAAGAAAAGAAAACCTTATTGGGCTTTTATTTCCGTGCTTAATTTACTTATCTTAAAATTTATTTCCATGCTTAATATTAAGAAAAAATTAATAATTCCCTTTAACTTTAGCCAGTGTCCACACAGGATTTCTTTTACAACAGTAATTTGTACAGTGTCTCCACAACTTGTTTAAACCTTCAGTTTTATCTTATCTGATTCAAAACCATCCCTTAACCCTAGGCAAAAATATATTTCCATGCCTTCCTATAATTTTTTTACTAAAAGCACATTTTACTATTTTTACACACATTGCATGTAAATCTATTTTCAGTAGTCTCAATTACATGTTATAATGGTAACACTTAGTAAGTTAAAATTTTAATGTAAAACCTGGTAAGTTGTTTTAATGATGTACTAGGCACAGATAAAATCTGAACCTAGTATCTGACCTGCATAATTTAGACCATGTATTTACATTTTGAACACATTTGTATTTTACCAATAATCCTTAAGATTGTTTTTATTTTTCAAAGATTAAAGTTATGTAAACCAAAAAGCATTATAGCTTTTACTTTTTCTTAAAAAAAAAAAATTGATCTAAGCACTTATTTTTTTAAGCCAATTAATTAGAGCTCCTTTTAGACATCACATGCAACACATATATAACTACACAAAAAAACAGAAGCAGATCTAGTAGTTAGAAGATATTTGTCCACCAATTTTTTTTTTTTTTTTTTTTTGAGACAGAGTCTCCCTCTATCACC